ATCATTATGATTATTAAAGTTTCGAAATTATTTAAATAGTTTTTACTAAATTAAATCTACTAATCACAAAACAACACACATTTTTAGCCTATTCCATTCCCAAAGTATTTTTTTTGTCTAACTAAATAAAAAAATACAATCACAAAACTATATAGAAATTCTAAGTAGGCAGATGTAATTAAACTGGGTACTGTGGGTGGTGGGCAGTAGGTGGGCAGCCCTATCGCATGTTGTCATACTGTGACGTACCGCGCGACTGTTGACATTTATTTCAAAAATATGGCCGAGTTGGAATACTGTATAGATAGTATTACCGTGACGGCAGCGCTAGGAAGACCATCATTTTTTTTTAATAACTAAACATTTGACACATGAATTATCCTGTTTTCCTGGATTTTACCTGTTAACCATCCCCGCCGGCGTCTTAGTAATGGCGTAGGCGAAGTTGACGTCACAGTCGCCATAGAGCGGCAGCGCCAATCGTACTCTTCGGCCGACGGCGCGCGCGCCGCAGCGCTCGCCGCGCCCGGGCACGTACACGCGCCCACGGAACGAACCACGCGGGTAGTACGTCACAACCAGGTTGGACTCCTCGCACTCGACTGTGACTGGAAATTACAATGTCTTTGTCACATTTAAATTTAGATTTAGGGAATGTCTATGTGCATCATGGATGTCCTATAGCTGAAATGATGATGATGAAATACTCGAAAAAGAAACGCTTTCTTATAACTTTTTAAAAATCAACAAAATTGTCCAATAAATTGTCTCTACATACGTGTAGATTTCTTACACGTATGTGGACATAATCTATTGGTGTTGTTTAGAAAGTAGGGACACAAAGTAGAAAGAGATTAGATGATGATGGCTATCGTAGTCAATGTAAAAATTTCAGGCTCCAGAAGACAAATTAAAATCGTCGATTCATTGATCCTATCAAACCCAACGTCAGTAGGGCCATTTACTTAAATAAGTAGAGCACCATAAAAAGAAATAAGTCTTACTGTTAAGGCAGATGACCCGCCTGTAGTACGTAGCGGGCGAGGTCCTCCTCAGCAGCCAGGAGCCCGTCGTGACGAGGTCCTCGCTGTGCAGGTCGCATAACCCCCGGGCGGAGTCCTTGCGGCCGTCCATGGTCCACGTGAAGCCGCGGCAGATGAAGTGCTCCTCCAATTCGCAAGCGCTTTTGCACTACGTCAAATAAATAAATAAACTAAGATAATGCATTTTTTTAATTAATTGTTTTTTTTTGCTAATTCTCAAGAAAGAGAGTTTTCGACGTACTTACATACGGCCTAAGTGTTAACTATCCATTTCCGATTTTGCTCTCGCTCTCATCAATTAATGGTGATTCTTTGCGATAGAACGAGACATGACGGCAATGGGCAGTTAAAACTGTTGCCGGTAGTACCTTATAATTTTTTAACTTAGGTAGACATAATTATGTCAAGATTCTGCAACTACTTTTATTCTAGGACAAGATGTAGAGTTCTCAAAGAAAGCTTAATACTATCGTTACCGAAACCACTTTAGGTAGATACTGACATAAAATACTTACCTCATCTTTTGTATAGTTCTTCACAGTAAATTCGACGTGTTTCAATGTTTGATTGTAATATTCCTCATAAGAACATCGATCAATTTTACTCGGATCTAAAATAAAAAATAGAATATTATCAATATCACGACTAAGTACGTATATGATAAAAGTTTGTATATTTTAGTGCAGTTCAATTATTTGCTTCCAATATTGTTTGTGCGTACAAAGATTTAGGATCATCTACTACCTGTTTAGGCACAACAAATTAGATGTGTACATATCGTTTGCTTTTTTGTGGATATGTGATTCTGTTTACAGAAACTCCTAATAAAATTAAATCGAACATCGGTTGTTAAGGCGAATTACATACTTAAAACCAAAGCTTTAAAACATACTAAAAATATGATAACATTAAGAATATGTAAATGCATTTGATATTTGGCTCGGACCAGTAAAACTGGCATCTATCACAACAAGCATCAAAGAGAATACATACATATGTATTTTATTAGGTATAGGTATTAATTTAGGTATCCGGCATAGAAGAGACATTCTCTTTCAAATCAAGCAAGGTTGAACTTGTATTAAAATGCGGAATAAGGAATTAAAAAGCTCTTTATTTAGTAGAAATGCTGCATGTTAATATATTAGTTAACTAATGCAAGTGCTATGAATCAAAAATTAAATTAGCAATGGGTTTCACCATCAACAAAAACTACGCAACGTATCTCAAAAGGGCATTGTTATGTGTAGAACATAAAAATATTATTTTATAATATTATTTCTTATTGACCGCAACCACAGAATAATAATAAGTACTTCGTACAGAAGATTTTCTTCGCGAAGGTATTTAAAAAAATGTATGCTCAATGTCGTTAACAATATGGTGTAATTTAGCTTGTCTCAAGAGTCGAGCACCATTTTGTTGACAAACGGCAGTGATCGGTACTGCGCCGAAGACATAGGGCTGATTTCGGTAAAATGATGTGTGACGTGAGGTGCCAAACTGCGAAAAATGGCGGAGGAAATACATGAATAAGCATGAATTATATTTTGTGTTTCTAATATTATTCAGGCAGTTAAAAAATACTGCACAGTATTAATTGCACCACCGTTTTTACATTATGGTTTAATGTCTTTACAATGCAAATGGGTGAAGAATACGTGCGTGCGTCAATACTCGCTCGTGATTGTCCTGTCGATTTGGTATCTCAGGAGGGGTAGTCGCGCGTGTTTTGTTTTCGATGCAAACTCGCGGAGATGAACAGGCCTGCCGCAACTGTACAAGCTATTTGGTACAAGGAGTACTTACAAACCTATCAAAAATATTCAACCTAGTAATTTAAGCGAATATTGATTGAGATGTTGCTATGAAAATCGTACAAGGGTAGAGCAAGATTGATTATGCGTATTACGGTTTTCATCTTACATGCACTTGAGAGTTTTTCTTGTGAATGCTTCAATGTAATCTTGTTGGTGATGAAATAAATAAATTTAATAAATAGCAATATACTTACAATCATGCCTACACTGGTTCTCTATGTAGAACGTGTAGTAGTTTGACACTCTATATGATTCGGGTTCCGTGAACTTGTCTTCCACATTGAGAATGCAATTTCCCATTAGACCCTCGGACACCTTAATCAATTCCGTGTTGTACACAGCTCCAGGGCCCACCCATTGAGCTGATCTAGAAAAAAATTGATGATAAAAAAATCATTTATATTCACCATGTATAATCATTTCCATATCGTGTTTTCGTGACACATTTTTAAGAGATCAAGGACTTGAAACAGTAAAAGTCATTTGAGAAACCATTTACATATGGATATCAGCATAGAAAAGCAATATTCTGAAGTCAATTTGTTTGTATAATATTTATTATTACATAATTTTGGGTGGCCATTAGGTATATACGAGTTTTATCATGGTCTCAAGTGTACTGTCATCATAATTATGTATATAATTTATATCTACTCGCTGTCTGCCATGTTTTGAGTAAATTAATTATGTAATTTATTTCTTATAATAAAACATATTATCGCAATGCAACGGCATCGAAGGTTAATATCACACGCAAACCTTACGCTACGTAGGTACCTAAGTCATAAGAACCTCCTCCTTTTTTTGAAGTCGGTTGAGAAATACAATAATGTGCTCACACACAACACCTAAGCTAGGTAGGTATGTTTAATTATAAGCCATTGTCTCTAGCTAAAAATGAAAGTGTTTGATTTCTTGTTGGGTTTATCTAGTGACACTAAACAGTAAATTCATGGGAAAATAGATGCCGAAGACGAGACATTGTTTATCTTTCGCATTAGCATTTGTCCCCAACACGATTGAAACTCGAACCGCTGGCATCGCTGCGGCGTTAAGTTCGGATAGAAGGAAGGTAGGACTTATGCGTTTACGAGGAAAGAAAGGCTTTGTTATTACTGAGGAATTAGTTAATGTGGTTGAATATTCACCTATATCGTTGTCCATTGTGGTCATCAAGTACAGCCTTGTAGCACTCCTGGACTGTGCTGTTCACAATGAGCTTGATGTTGGGGGTCTCTGGATGCAGATGGTAGCCCGGCGTGCTCTCCAGGGCCCACCATCGCTCGCCGCACCCGTCTGCCTCTGATAACCAATAAATCTTTCACTACCATTCTAAAACGCAATAAACTTACAACTTTACAAAGTTGACAACCTTGGAAAACCTATTAAAACATATTTTAAACAATATTGACCAATTAAAAGATATTTCTTATAGGATTCTTGACATTTAATTACAGAAGATTTATTAATTTATGGAAATAGTCCGATCAGCTAGAAAACATTAATTGACTCTACCATAGTTACAGCAAGATCACGAGAAAAATATAAGGTGCAGATCGGTTTCATTCAAAAAGTTTAACTTCGTGGATTAAACGAATTACTACGTAAACTCGTTAAAAGTTTAAATTTCAAAAATGATTAGTCCATGTCGCCGATTTAAATGTTTCGCAACAAAGAAACATTTGCGCCACCGATTGTATAACACACGCAACGAATTCGTTCTCCTATGTATTCCAACCGGTATTAAAATATCGACAGTGGAGTGACGTAAAATTGAATTAAAAGAGAGAGGCCTACACACGTTCCAAGCATATTTTTTTGAAGTAGGAAACGTCGTTGTTCTGTTGCAGTTCGACGCTTTCCGTGGCTGTGACGCCTTGGCAGTTGCCCTTGGAGTAGGAGACCAGCACGGCGGCGCAGTCGGGCAGCTCCCTGCAGCGCGCCAGGCACGCTCCGGTCAGAGACTCCTCGTCCCCGCTCGCCGAATACACGAACACCGGCGTCGCCCGCTCCGGAGTCACCCCCGACCACCGCACGAAGCTCACAAATTTCCCTCCGTCACACTCCGCGCCCGATCCTATCGGAAAAACACCGTTAGTATACCTACCAACCACATTATTACCTGAACTTTAACGAAAGTTCAGGGTTAGTGACTTGGTATTGTGCAAAACAAGTTTACATCATATAAACTTAATGTGTAGCTTACTTTTGTGGTTCAGTATACGTTTGTGCCGGAGACGGGAAGGTCATATCGACTTGACATTATTTGTTAAAAGTGAGTGTTGAATTATTTTTGTGTCGTAAAATTCATTTAATTTAGACTAAATAGAAAAAAATATAAAAAGAAATGGTTGAAGCCGCGCAAAATAGGGATGACCTAGTTTTAAACCGTTAAAAGTTTGCGTAAAGTTTAGTATTCAATATTTTTTATTTTTACTTAAAATTACATTTGAATAACTATAATAATAGTTTGAATTACGTAAATAATATTTGTTTATTTGTTTGGATATCATTATTTATTTTTACACAAATTGACCCCAAAATCTAGTCAGTATAACTTATACTTACTGTATAAATAAGCACCAATTAAAGATTCGTTGTTTACATATTAAACCAAATAATACATTTATTTTGAATCCAGATATTCATGATTAAAAGGTTATGTATAAGTAGGAACCTAAGATACTGTATATTGTCTGTCAGACATAATCTCTGAATTTCGATCGGTGAGCGGTGTTGGCATAATCTGAAAGTTGTTCCTACCAGGTATAACATTACTATGAAACGATTTCGGTATAATGCAACAGCAATAGCTGTTCGATCACTTAAAATTAGCTTATGAATTATGTCGATTAGCTTGTGAAAACCTATTTAAACCGCTTGTCATCTTTGTGCGATTCATTAAATTTATCATAGTTTCTGAGCAGACTGTACTTAATTGTAGAATAAATTACAGTTATTAAGATATTTTTCACATTGAACTAACGTGCAATCAGTCAGGTAGAAGATTTGTTGGTTGTCCTTTAAATAACCGACACGTTCGACAAGAAACGTATTAACGCACGCAAATAAATATGAAAATATTTTTGTTATTTATTTTAACAAACTCTAATTGCGTTTATTTGCTTACATCAATACCTAATAATAATAATAATAAATAATAATAAATCTTTGGACGATTTCACACAGCGCCAGCTAGCCCCAAAGTAAGCAACTTAATGCTTGTGTTATGGGTGCTAGCTTAACGGATATACTACTTATATACTTTTTTTTTTAAATACATAAATATTATATATAGTCATACCCAGACCCGTCACAGAAATTAAAATTCATCATTTCAATTTCTGCCCGACCGGGAATCGAAACCGGGACCTCTCGGCATAGTAGTCCGTTCTGAACCACTACACCAAACGGCCGACAAACTAGGTAATTGTAAACGCAAAAGTTTGAAAGAATATTATTTATTTATTCCTGAATAGAACGGGACCAATTACGAACTATTCAAACCAATTAACAATCAATTAATTTATTACTTCTTCGCACAAAAAATAATAAACCAATTTTAAAATGTTACAATAAAATAGCGAAGAAGTAATAATTAGTTTGCTTATATACTTACGAGCAAAAGTATGGAATCACGCCGTTGTGTTTGGTTCCAAGCCATCTTAAGAACTGAATGATTATGTATGTATTTATAGTATCAATTTAAAGTGTAAAACATTACCTTTAAATGGTACCATTTTTAATTATCTTCTATTAGTCATTTAGTTCTTACGATCGCTCGGAACAAGTATGGTGATTCCATACTTTTGCTCGCGAGTGTATTTTATCAAAATCTACGCAGATGAGGCTGTAGGCAGGGTTCAAAACAAATTATCAACGAAAGGTCCCAAAAAATCCTTACACATTTCACTATAATAGAACTACTAATTTGGTTTAGTCTAATGCATTTTTTTATCTTTTCAGATGTCTCGTTACCTAAGAACCGCATTTGTGTTTCTGACCATCCTGTACTGTTTCCTGTACTGCGCACAACTCGGAGTGACTGCCGCCACGAAACCTCTCAAGTGTCCCAATGACAAGGTACCGCTCAAAATAGGGGCCAGCGAGGTCTGCATCCCCAAGAACTACACACTCACCGAAGAAAAACTAACGTAGTACAAATGAAGATAAGACTAGTTTTAACATTAACCTACCTAACCATTAATATTAAGTCATGTGTACAGTTAATAAAGATTTAAGTACGTTTAGTGTTATTTGTGTACCTACTTCCCACATTAGAACAATATTCTCGATGTTGCGATTATGTAACGTTACTGCATGTGCAGCGTAATTGGCATAACAAACATTTGACTGTCACGGATCACGGTTTAGGAACTCTTCACAATTTAACGGTTGAAAAACACCAAAATATGTCTGAAAGGGAGAAAACTTGACAACAGGATGTAAGATAAGTAGGTACCTACATTAGTTTATTAGTCCGTTATCTACAGAGTAAGCAACAGGAATTTAAAAAACCGTCTTTTTCAATAAAAGTTACTGAAATACGAAAATGCAGTTGACTCGTAAAATTTAATTTAGCATGCACCTACTCGTGGAATAAATGCTTCCACGAGTAGGTGCATGCTAAATTAAATTTTATCAAAGGAATGTTTTCATGTTTTGTTGCACAACCACAGGTACAACTTCGGTCGTCTGTAGTCATTGGGCACTTCACTTACCTACATTGGTGCACGCGAACATTCAGAATAGGTAGACTAACGTACATTTTATAAGTAAAAAATAATTGTCACGATTGAAGTTTAATGATCCTACTACCCGTACCTAATATTGCACAGTGGCGGAGAGTGGCAGTTCCTTTTGAGAAGTAGAGATGCTTGAAGTAGAGATCCTTTTCTCGGAAGGAAATTAAGTAATACTTAAGCCAATTTTGGCGTTGTTTATCGAAGGCTTTTTGTCGAATAGGCCCGAATTCGAGAGTTAGCAGCTATCAAGATGTGCAACTTGATTTTTACATACCTAAACATAAAATTCCGACATAACTTTATTAAAACTGATTTTCACTACACGAAAATTTGGAAACTAAGTACTGGAACCGCCTATAGAAATATTACCTACAAAATTAATTTGATGTTTTCAATAAAAATCCAAGGCACAGTAAGTAAAGTTTGAACAAAATTAATTACCTAATTATCCAGTCAGTTCAACATACAACTTCGTAACAAGATTCATTTATTGTTTTGCCTTCGCCTAGAAAGACAATCACGCTAGATAGCAATTTTTAACTTGAAATATTAGTTTTCTTTTCGCAATCGTTGGTTGTTGTGCTCGATACATGCATTAATGACTTTGTAGTCATTAAGTTTATCATTACGTCTTGTAGGTACTTTGCATAAACACGGCTATTTACAAGGAATTATTTTTAAATCAAAGACTAGTTAATGGTCATTATTTTTTAATTTATTAAATACGTTTTAATGGGCAGACCCTATTACCACTATAACTATACAGGGCACGATAGCGGGTTCGATTAATCCCCTCAATCAATCGCTTACATTGTCAATTTAAGTTTAGATGTTCGTGAAAATTTAAATCAAGGTCAATGAAAATTTAAGGTTTCAGTCTGTGCAAATGCATTAAAATTTTCATGAAGCATGAAACTTGTTTGACTGTTGTATTTTCCATTGTTTTCCACGCATGAAACGAAATATAATAAAAAATTTAATTGTGATAATAACTCTAGGTCAGTTAGCTATAGTCATAAGTAATAGTCATTCTGTTAAAAAAATAATCGTAAGGTTTTACATTACTCACCATATTCAAGAGTTAGTAATAAAAGAGCAGAACAAACTCCATAATATGCCTTCATATCCGACAACTTTTTTACACAGTTTCCTTTACAACATACAATGATCACTTTCAAAGTATTTACAAAATGATCACAATATTGCACTGTCTTCGAGTCATTTTCGTATTACTGCGACACGCACCGGTCGGCGTCAGGATCGCTTTATTGGAACACGTCCATTAAATAACTGACGGCTTTACAAGATAGCACTACCACCACTGTAATACAACTTGAATTCTTCAGCCACAAGGGTTATGAACCAATTGCGCAATTCGATACAGACTTCGACTACAGCTGAACAAACATACGGCTCGGCCAGAGCTTTTGTGATTGAAACATTTGTTCTTGAGATTTGACTAAGAATCGCCTTGGAGTCTCAACATTCTATGGGGTTCATAGATGACTCAAGCGCCGATCTCATCGAGGAATTTGTGCGATCAGAGTTCCGATACAAGTTCGCGGTCGCCTTCGGTAGCGTTTGTCGTGTGGCTACTGAAACTTCACGGAGTGCAGTCATGTGCCAGCCCCCACCACATGGCTGCGACCTTGCAGTTTATTATGGTTTACAGACTACAATTTACAATGGAGTGACGAGTCAACGACAAACGATAGTGAAAACGAATGATAATAGTTACGTTAGACGCCAAAGCGGCGCGTTTCGCAACGCACCATGCGGGCTTGGGCTCGCCTATGGAAGTTCCAATTTTTATTCGTCGTTTGCAAATAGCACTTATGGTATTTTGAAACCATCCGTCCGATGCAACGGGTAATTTACATAAAATGACGGATAGCAGGAAAACCTGCCGCTGATTGATAACTGTGATTACCCAACAAGGCAGATTGTAATGAGCAGCTAGATTGTTTTTGACTAAGATATTAGCTACCTACAGGTATCAGTCAGAAAAACGTCTCTGCTGATGCGTTAAATTCACAGAAAATCAGTATTTGTTTCATTAAAATCCCTCATTAATAAGAAGTGTGTTGATAATTTTCTTCTGTAACCAGTCTAATTAAATTGATCTTATCTCGTGGCCACCCAGCCGAAACAAAACACTTATCATAACAAGACTTTACGTTACTGAAGTAAAGAAAAAACATTTTTTTATTTAGATTCAACGGATGCAACGACAAAGAGGCACAATAATGTAAATGCATTCGCTTTCCGCTTGCTAAAAAATGCTCATTGAAAAATAAACTTATGATCCAAAATATTTTCAACGTTACTTTAACTTAGCGTATTCTAAGATAAATTCACACTCTTTAATATATCTGATAATAATGGAAATAAATGTCTCCTTTCTTTTTTTCTCTCTTTCTTTCTCTACATCCATATTATTACCTATGTAGATAGTCCAGTCAATAAAGCATTATAGATGGAAAACTGTAGAACACAATTTCTGACTTCAGGACTTTATTTAGACTAGTTAGGAGGTGAACATAGCAAAAGTCCCCGTCCTTAGCCCTTGAGCCGGCGGGGAGAGGGGGGTTTAAAGGTGCCACTTTTCGGTTTTTCGCTTAATCCTCGGAAACTATGCGTCCTAGTGACATGNAACAGCGCTAGTTCCAGCCCGTCCTGTTATGACCCACAAAGCAATCTGTTATGTTAATTCGATAACATTCGTGCTATTGTGATGTTAATGCGCTCCAACAAAGCGCGACCGCGTGAATTTATTGTGTCAAACAAGTAGGTATATTACTTTGAATATTATGATTAATATTCATATTGTACGAATGCTGCAATGTGACAGTAACTAATTACAAATGCACACTATGTTGCAAATCAATCATTTTTCTGATTCATGTGTTTTGATAAATAAGAGAAAATAACTTACCAAATTGAAAAATCGTCTTCTTTTAAAATGATCACTGCGTAGGACATTGCCCCTCGCGTTGTTTTTTCAGAATCCTGTAAGTGAGAATTAACCCGACTATTAAATGTTGGTTAGATAACTATTAAATTAATTAATACAATTACATGACATTGTTAAACGATAAACAATACTTCAATGACGTAAAAAATGTTAACAATATACTACCACACTTATAACAAGGCCTTTTACTGAAAATAACTCAATTGTTATAAACATAATAAACTATTAATTGGTTGACCTTACCTCATTTCGAGTAAAACAAAGCCCACACTGATAAAGGGAATCCAAATTGCTATATTTTGATAGGCTTTTAATGTCACCAAGTTAAGTTCGCACTGGCATAAAATTAAGTTAGCATTGGAGAAGAAGAGACATTTACTGAGAAGAAACTGGTAGAGGATGCCAAACGTCACTAAGATCGCCTTTTGTACCTTATTTTTTGTGTAAGATTTTAATTGAATAATAATATATTCTCCTCTTCTCCATAAACTTTACATTTTCGTTACAAAATACCACTTTCACAATCACATAGTATAAATGATTCCACTGTTTACTTCAATGTGCCGTCGTCTGTATACGGATTACAGTAATACAACACATCTTTTTTAAATCCCAACTAATATTATAAATGCGAAAGTAACTCTGTCTGTCTGTCTGTCTGTTACGCTTTCCCGCTTAAACCTCGCAACCGATTTTGATGAAATTTGGCATAGAGATAGTTTGAGTCCCGGGAAAGAACAGGGACGCGCGCGATAAAGTTTTTCTGTGACAGACAAAATTCCACGCGGGCGAAGCCGCGGGCGGAAAGCTAGTAATTTATGATACGATAATAATGTATAGCGTATAGTTAGTTAAGTGTAAAATTGGAAATGATATTTTTTTAATTTCATTTTTATTGGAGCTGTATCCCGAAACGTGGTCTTGAAATGTCCAACAAAACATGTTTGAATACCGGTCTTTTTGAAAACAACCTCGAGCTTCTATGAACCTTTTATGATTCGAATTCCCATTATGAAGACTGGCAGTGGTCCACTTAATGTATAGGTAGGATGCTGCTCATTCTACATTCATGTTCCACATAGCAAGTTAAGCACACATGTCATTTTGTTGGTTTTCACAAAGCGGCAAATAAAGAATGGCATTGAATTTAACATGAATAGGATCAAGAACACGCCTAGATTTTATTGCTCGCGCCATGACCGTGTTTGTTTATCACGTACTTATTCCGAATTTATAGAATGAACGCACTTTTAGTTAGCTAGGTTTTTAATAAATAATACAAATCATTATTTTAAGGCATTAGGTATATTTAATAATATAATTTTCTTTAAATTGTGCTTATGAACATTCCATAACAATATTGTGCAATTTCTTCACACTTGTATTCTAAGCGGCCAATAAACATTGAAAATAGGCTACTGTTATCTACCTACATATTCAAACACAATACATAGATATCCAAAAATAAATTCAGGTACATTGAACAATACTTTGGTTGTAATGACTATCAACATTTCTGCTAATTTCTTAAGATTTCTAACAATGACTCTATTTTTAGTAACATTTTATAAAACATCAGGTATTTTCTATGTTACACATTATTCCTAAGGGGAATGAAAACTATTTTCCTGGCAAATTAGTCAGTTTACATAAGTTTATTCGTTAGTTATTGTTATTTTCTGTATCAGACCGTCATTTCGTTAATTTTATTATAAAATATCGAAGACGATAACGAGTAATTCAACTGAGAAGTGAGTTTTCACGAATCGTTCAAAGTTATCATGCTAAGCGGCTACCGAGCGTGCCAAGTCACTTTTCATATGCTAGTCCTTCATCCATGTAGCTCACAATGCATTTATTTACATTTGTCGTCATAATTATGACGCGTCTTTTAACGTTTGTTAACCCTTTAACCAATATTTTCGTTTATTTTTTACTTAAATTAAATTCAAAATATGGAAGCCAATAATTTAGCCAAGGCTTAAAGACATATCTCTTAATACAATTAATTACGATTAAATTTTACCATGAAAACATTCCGCCCCTAACACTTTTCAACATGGACAGGACATAATAAAAAGGACTCGGAACTGATAGTATAAAATGAAAAACATATTGCTACGTAATGGTTAATTAAGTATACGTAAGTTAATATTCTGCATTATTTCATCGAATATTAGAAATTTTGATTGAAGGTAGTAACAGTTTTAGTGCTTGCACAAAAATGCATGAAGATATAGACCATATCGCCAAAAACAAGAACTATTAAAACCCGTGGAATGATGTCTTAATAATTAACCCACATTTTAATAACACTTCAAACCACATATTTAAGTATTAGCTAAGCACGTACATAACAATTAGTACAATATAACACAATAATTCACGTGTGTACCTATTACAAAATATATTTTTCTGTAACTTGGCCTTTTCACGCGTGAGCATATTTTAAAGTTAATAAATAGCAATACTTATCAAAAAATAGCATTTCCGGTCAACAATAGAATTAAAATGTCACTTTTGAACCTTAACTGCTTTGGATATAAGAAAAATACATTAACTTCATTGTTGTAACGTACGGATATCTTAATTTTAAATGTACACGATAATATGTATTTGGCATTTTAATTAACATTAATTTACGCAAGTGAAGTACTCAGTATTCCGAAAGGCAATTATTTCATTAAATGGCGCGTTAATAAGCCAGTTATTTTTTTCATATCACAACCTACACTGATTTAAATAATTACTAAAATGATTGAATGTAATAAAATAATCAACAACAATATTGACACACAAATAAATAACAAAACAATTGAAAGTAACAATAATAAACTCACGACAATAATAATTTGACTGACATAAGACCAGCAAATCTTAATGAATTAAACAACAAATAAAAGGGAATAACAAATCTATAGGTGTGATTATTTTTGGTTTTATAAATAAGCAGATAGCTGATATGGCAACTCTTAAAAGTTTCATACGTCATATTAACAAAGATGCATATTCAAAGTAAAAGAGATACTACAGTACACAAATGCCTTGAGCGAAGACTCTGGTAATCATCTTCAAGTAACCCTCATATTGTTTGTAAACTGGTTATTTTCTTGATGACTATTGTTTGTGAAGTCTAAGCAGGCCAATTTTATTTTTAAGTAAAGGCTGATTTACACGTGTTAAGTACCTAGGTAACTAAATTTTAAGTCTATGTCAAAACGTTAAGCTGTCAAGTTCTTGTTTACTATGAAACTGCGTGTCAAAACGTGTCAAGTGACAAGCCCCGCCCACCAACTTACCCGAAAATTGAAGTTAAATACCTACTTAACTACTTAATACGTGTGAATCAGCCTTTAAATTAAGTAAGACGGTTGTTATCAGAATTTTCCGACAAAGATTTTATTTATTAGAATAGAGCCGGTTCCAGAACTACATAAATGTAACTAAATACTTACTAGGCAGCCACAACAAACATTTTAAAAGTAAATTGTACTCACTGTACTTTTTTTACCAGAGTTCTTATGTCTATTATTATCCTTTGTTAATATGATGTACGCTAGTCAAACACTGGTGCTTACGTGCTAGTTGGTAGGGATTCGGTCTCTCAGATAGGAGAGCACCGACGCGGTGCCTTTGGCGAGGATGGCATGCCGCGGCTGTCGGAAGCAATTGCCCATCAGCTCCAGGCTCCTGAAACATATCCCCGTAAGTATATTAAACTGAATTTGATACGACAATAACTCATCGGTGTCGGTGTGGGACTGGCCGAGTTGAGATCCGAAGAACTCGAACCTCGCCACACATGGACTCTTGTGACTAACCCACTCGTAACACAAGCATAGCTTACCACGAGGGGCTAATAGGACTTTACTTTGTAATTACAAATTACTAATATTTTTAAAAAAGAGCCTAACTTTTTTTTATGACATTCAGGTTATCACAGAAAGACCGACATATCATCGTTATAAATTATAGCCTACATGTCATTCTGATGTATAAACTATACTACTGTAAACGTTAAGTTTCGTCAAAATCGATTCTGTTTTCGCGTGAAAGAGTAACGAAAGCATCCTCACAGATTTTCAAATTGTTATGTTTTTTTGTAGGATAATAGGATAGGAGAGGATATCGAAATTCATTTAATGTAGTTTTGCCCATCCACATAGGTACGCTTTAAGGATTTTTTCGAAAGAAACATTTTATAAAAGCAAAAGCTTATTTAACTAACCTCAAATGTGTAAAGTTGCCAAGCTCAGGAGGCACGGTGAATATGCTGTTGTTGGACAGATCCAGCACGGCCAGTTTTTTCAGCTTTGCCAAAGCATCCGAAGACACGTTGATTTCCTCAATCTGATTCTCCGCGGCCAAGAGAATCTCAAGGTTTTCCAACTCGTAAACACAACGCGGGATCTTTCCGAACCTAAAAAAGTTTATAATAATAATACCAGAGAAGGACACTATTTAAGATTAATAAAGTTTTATTAGTTTATGGACACTATAAAATTAAAACAATAATACTACTAGCATCGAAAACTTTCAGCTTCAAAAAGATTATAATAATCATTTAAAAACTAAAAAGTTTATTTCCTTAAAAATCTAGTTGAAAGCGTGCTATGTCCGATCCTTATAATGTACGTGAAAATACGGTCCTGATTAGTCATAGAACCATTTTGTGTAATAGTGTAGGTACGCACTAGATAAGATATCCATCCGATTTCACTAGTAATTATTCTAGTTCCGTATTTTGACGGATTCGGATCAGCCGTAGAGCTAAACCGCTGTTAGGTCACAATCGAACCATAAATAAATGCAATTGGCCACAAATAAATGTTATTTTGGTACAAAATTATGAGTGATATAATTAGCTTAATTTTATTACTGACACTGTCTCGATCTTACAGTTTAAAGTTAACTAGTTTAATTGATACACAATTTATACTCACTTATTATTAGATATGACTAGTTCTCTCAGGTTTTTCAGGTTGGCGATTTCCAAGGGTAATTCTGCTAGGCAATTCTTCCCCACATCCAGATACTGTAAGTGCACACAACGACATATCTCCGGAGGAATGTTGGCAATACTGTTCGAAGACATGATCAGTTGAGACAGGGTTTCTTTCAGGTGACACACTCTGAAACAATTATAAAATAATTGATAGTAACTCATCAAGCACGAGAATCTATTAAATTGCGAGAGCAGCCACGATCGATTGATCGTTTTAATTGCATATTATTAGGCACATCGCAGCATTCGAGCTCTCCGTCGTATGAAATGTGGCTATTACGGACACGCAGACTTAAATTCGACTATTATTAATAGATTCATCATTTGGAACTGATTTCATACTTTATTCATAATTCAGAAGTCATCAATCTAGGTATTTTTTATTTGAATCATATATGGAATCACAAATGTGTTGGTATAAACAGCGCTTCGGTATCTTGGAAATCAATAACGACGAACTAAAGACAAAGTCAAAATATCTATGACCATAGTAATTTGAGTAAGCCTTGGTAACTACAGAACGAAATAAAGTTGTGATCATAGGTTTCGTATCGTGCATTAATGCGTCGTTTCATTTATAATTTTATTCACGAGTTCTATGGTTCACCACAATAGCATGCTTCGTGTCCTTGAGTTTACGTAACTCTATATTTTTTCTACCAATAATTACACTTACCCCATAGGCACAGCGGTGAGTTTGTTCTTGGAAATGTCGATGATGTGCACTTCAGCGTCAGCCGCGGCCTTGAACACATCGTCCGGCACCGAGGTCAGGCTGCGGGACGGGACCATGAGTGCTTGGCTCTTTTTCAGGGTGTACCTGCAAGGGATTCACATGGTGTTAGGAGTTTTTCATATAGTGAGCGTAATCACAGGCCCATCTTTCCCACTAGGCACTCTAGGCACGTGCATGACCCCGTGAATGAGGGGGACCCACGCCTGCTTGTATAAAAATTAAACTAACAGTTGTAGGTAGTAATCGCTGTAAAGGTCTACAATTTTGCATTTCCCCTTTTTTTAGGAAAGGGCCCCCAGTAGGTTAAAGACAGCCCTACTTCGGGATATCTCTCATAGGCATGAAGTTACGAAAACGAGGCATTTGGTTTTCCAGTTTCTACGTTTTTGTCCGATCTTTCTATTCTATACGGCCTATACTACGTCAGAACTGCATACAATCGCGGTGATCAAATCGCTAAGTACATAGAAACAGATGCCATAATCACATTTATGTATTATTTGTCATTGCATTGTGTAAACTACAGTTTTTTCACGTGTTTGTCTCATGCCCGCTTCGTCATTCATTAGTGCATTCGTATATTTATTTGCACATAAACATAACTTGTGTTTTTCCAACAGCCCACAGTTTATGAATGCTATATAGGGATTATTATTCTACACTGGCATGATGCTTAGATCATTCTATATTTATTATTAGTTTTACGTACTATCAAGGGCAAGGAGGGGTTTAATGGCGTACTGCGCGGATATTAGCCGACTCAAGTCAAAAACTGAAAAATGAATGAATTTCATCCCCACTCCACTGTTTTTTGACTTGGCTAATTTCCGCGCAGTGTAAAAGCGCCCTAAAGGGGAGGGGGGAGGTTTGTGTACTGTAGAGATTCCATCACAGTACATTCGGCGTTCCCACCGCAAAAAAATACATAATTTATTGTACTAATCACTGCCTGAAAAATAGATGCGTGCTCCCAAAAAAAAAAAATCTGGATTCGCCCCTGATCATAGGCGAAGATCTATAAGTGATGTAAACTGGTAGAGACGAAAATACGGACATCGTCATTATGGAGTAACCTCGCTAATTATTTAAGACGCCGAAACAAACACGAAATGCTGCTCTTTATTACGCGTGTTTGTATTGGTATATCGTCAAACCGGCCGTTTCTATGAAGGCGGCTGCTACAACGTACCGTATGATGTAACTTAGGTAAATGTTTACTTTGCGATGCAGAACGAGACTATACACTTCAATTCGAAACATCCAATTTTATTGTTGAAGGCAAATTAAATTACTAAGATTCACTTGTAAAGATGCAATGAACAAACAATTAGAAACAGAAAGTTTAGATGTTTAAAAAGTAAGATCGATAATAAAGTATACTTTTAAATGTTCTGATCCCAGTTGATAGACATAATTATGTAGGTATTATGATTCAGTTAATTACGAAAACGTCAACTGTGGGCTATAAATCACAAAAATGAAAGTTTCAGGAATGAAATGATAATTATGTATTAATTTATGTTGTGATAAATCACTTCTCTTTGGGTTTCCAATATTGACTATAACTGAAAATACTTATTTATAGGAACTGCAACTATAGGTCTAACTCTAGCGCATAACTCAGTGCTTGAGATATGGGAGCGGCTCTGTCACGTCATAATAAGTCAAAATCACCCCTCCCGTGCCGCCTCCATACCGCAGGCACTGACTGAGATAAGTTCACGTATTTTTTTACGGAGATTCCGATAATCGCAATAGCTATAATATTTAGGATTATTTTGAGTTGTGCCACTATTGTGCAATATCCCGACCCTCATCCATAAAAATCCTAGCTTTGACCAACAAATAATAACTTACTTGTCCGGCCAATCAGTGTCGGTATATCTGGTCTCGCTGACAATCTCATCGGTCATGCGGTCGCGCAGGTACTTCATCATGCGGTCGGTGCCGCCGCGGATGACGTCCTGCCGGATGGCCGACAGCTTGTTACCCTCCATACTCAGGCTTTGCAGCTGAGACAGGAGACCTAGGTTTCTTGGTAATCTAAAGATCAAATATGAATACGTTTAGGATATTTTCAAAAGGGTTTTGAGACAAATGAGGTTTTATTTTAATCTCAACGTCGAAAGTTACAAGGTTTTCATGAGCCGAACGAGTTTTTTTTATTGCTCGACGTTGAAGAATTAATTGCGGTACGGGCAGTAACGTGTAATTAACTTCAAAGTATTCACAGAAACTACATACAGACGACGGCACATGAAGCTAGCACATGCAGCATGAAGAACTAACACTGTGGCATTTTACGTACTTGTCATATTAGATATTTTACGCGTATGTATAAGTATTCGTGTTGTCGACTAGTCTGTAATACTCGTAGTAGTACAAATGAACAAGGTCACTTTACGAAAAAACATTGTAATTTCATAATACAACATACTTATTCAAATTGTTGTTAGTCAGATCAAGCCTCTTCAGTTTTTGGAGTAATGATATATTTTCGGGTAACACTTCAATCTTATTATCACGAATATTTAACACATTCAAATGCTGCATCTGATCACAGAATTCTTCAGTAATTTCCTGAAAGTACGAAAAATATATTGATATAAAAATTGTTTACTTTAGAATTATTCAAATGGATTAAGATTTATGTGACATTGCAGTATACCTTGATGAAATTATTAGCCAAGTACAGTTCCTTCAATGCAGTGCAGCCATAAAAGTCAGGCAAAGCCTCTATATCATTGTGATTTGCATCCAATACTTCCATTTTCCTCAATTCACCTAATGCAGGTAGCCTTTTTAGATTGTTGTTGCTTATGTTCATTTTCTTCAAATCTATAAATAAAATAAATAAATAAAAATAATAAATAAAATATCCTTGGACATTTTACACTGCGCCGCTAGCCCCAAACTAAGCAAAGCTTGACTAACTAAGCAAATATCAAGACACTCATTAAGATTTGATTTTTAGATGACTATAAATTAATTTAAACATTCATGCTAGCCATTATAGCCAATTAGGAGCTAGTATGAATATTTAAAACATGAATAATGTTATTGCCAAAATAATTAAATTAAATTAACCCAGATTTTGGGTATATTAGCATTTAGACACAACTCAAAACTACTAATCAAATTCACTAACTAGAATTCCATGCCCTTATCAGAACAATAAATATAATGTAACTATTATTAGTTACCCCTAAGATTGACAATGTCTGGAGGCAACTCTTGCAGCTGGTTATGTGAAAGGTTTAGCTCCACTAAACGGACCAAATAACCCATACCAGGAGGTAGTACTGTAAGTTTGTTGTGTGATAAATCCTAAAACAAATATAAAGCAATACTATAATAAATATACTTAATTAAACAATATCAATGTTAGAATGATTGTTACAAGTTGTTGATTTTATTGAATAGGGTATTAACTCAAAAATAACAAATTCGTAAATCTAATTCAAAGAGTCGAAAGTAATGTCCTAATACCCTATTCTATTATACCAACTAAATAAATAAAACAACAAAATTTGATTAGAGCTATGAAAATCTACCTAAGCATTTTTCATTTTAATGATAATTTATTTAAAATAAAATATTGTACATAAATAAATAAGATATACTTACCAAAAATGTTAGCATAACCAAATCACCAAAGTCCGGCTCAATTCCACTCAGTTCATTGTGAGCTAAACTGAGCCAGCGTAGTTCAGTTAATTTGTAAAATTCTTTTGGTAATACAGTAAGCTTATTATGGTCTAAGCTTAGATTTGACAGAATTTTCAATTCACCAATTTCAGCTGGTAAGGCTGTGATTGCATTGTCATGAAGCTGAAACCAGTTACTATAGTTTAATTAAATTAAGACTATATTATTTAAAACCATGTTATTGTAACAAATAAATATTATATTCTGAAGCATTTCACATACCCAACTAAAGCATCAAATATACAAACAGGAATTCACAATAAAGTAAGGAGTGCTGAATCAATTTATTAATTAAATGCCAGCTGACCTTGAGGGTGACAAGCTGTTGAAGTAACTTGACATTGGGGGATATTGTTTTTATCACATTTGAACTGAGATCCAACATTTTCAACGGCTCAGAATTCCACCAGTTGTTTAACTCTGATCTTGAAAAGTCAACTTCCTTGGTCTCCTCCATAACCAATTCATCAATTTTCCACACATTGTCAGGTACTGAGACATAGATGTAATTAGTTATTTATACTAACCTGCATCCCTCCTTTACAAGTTTGAACTTGGACCAGGAATTGTGACTTTATGATACATAATAATAATCAATCAATTATTATGCACACAACTAGGAAGAAGTTTCTAATACTATGAGACATAATACTATACTTAAATCACCATTTGTCTGTATCAAACAAATTCAGAGGTAGGTAATTAATGTTTTTATTGTAGTTTTAATTTCCACATTACAATTTCTATCAAAACTTTTTATAATTTAACAATAAATAAACTTTATTTCCTACTCACCAGTTCCAAGGCCCCTGTTGCACAAACTGAGTTGTCCAGTGCGTTTGGCAGATTTTATCAAGCCGATTGGGAGCTCTTTCTCGTCTGCCTTCTTATCTTGAAGATGAAATACCGATTTATTGCACATTCTTAATCTAGATTTTGTTTGAACTCTTTGAGACATGTTTATTTACTATTTTTATGTCTAGGCTAATGGGCTAATGTTATCAAATAATGTATCACAAATACTGTAACCACCGAATCTTTTCTAAATCTATACACAATGTTAAGTATTTATTGCTTTGAAATGTTATTTTAAATTACTTTTCTCGAAATAAAAAGCAAAATCGAACTTGACTGTAGCATCCTCGCATGAGCAAAATATTTTTGACAGTTTTGACATTTGGCAGGGGTAGGGCAGGGGCAGGGGGATCCATTCCATGGGATCCAAAGACTTCAAACTAAAGATAGAGCGTAAGGATAGAGCAAAGTCATCTCACATAAATAGATGATATAGATGATTACGAGCTTAACCACAAACGAATTAAAAAAGGCGTACAATATTAATGCAAAATGATAATTACCAGTAAAGGATCTAGGACTTGTTATTTGTTTCGTTTCATACATGGATCTCGCAAGAGCATTATCCTCTTCCAGTTGTATCATAACTGTTTACAAACAACTCGAAGTTTGACCAATTCGATTGTAATATTACCACAATAATTTTCCTATTTTAAACTAAGATTTACATTGGTAAGATCTTATTAAAAGAGCATATTGTAGAATAGCAAAATAGCCTTACAAATAAAAATTGAATTTACTGTACTGCTGCTGCACACTGACATTGATTGATGAACGATGTCATTTAAAAAAAATACGAAAAAGTTTACCTATACCTAAATTCTTTACAAAAAGAGGCAGAAACAGCAAAGCGCAACCTCTTGCAGAGTCCCGACTTGGGTGGGACTACGCAGCGTAGTCTACGCTCCCAAGTCCCAAGTTCCCAACACTCCTAAACAGTAATAATAATCCATAAGGATTGTTTTGTCTCTAATTACATCCTATTCCCATTATGTATTAAACTTTTAAAATTATTAAATTATAATTTAATTTTAAATGCACATCTGACCATTATTTTTAATCGGTTGAAATCTCATGAAATTCAGTCATGTACACATATTATCTTATCACACAGTTAGGCAGGCACCTACTTATTATACTATTTGTCATACATTAACACGTAAAATAGGTAGGCAATCCTTTTGTAAACCTACTTATCTACATTCACCTGAGTTTCATGTTTCATCAAATACATTCTCAAAAATAAAATGCATTCTCTACAAAATATGCCTAAAATTACAGTTAAAGGTATTTATATCTCGGTACTACTTATCTACTATACCTACCTACGAAAACATTACCTACCCTTTGTACCTACATTCGAAGTTAAATATTCAAATATATTCAAAGTGTCCTTTATTTTTATCCAACGTTTTAACTGCGTAATCCCGTAGCTAATGGCTCGTGCGCCATTGTCATGGTGAACTCAGCTGGAAGAAAATGCGTTGACGTCCTTTTGGTGCCTTTATAAAAACAGTTTTGGGCAAAACACTGTCAGATGAAGCTTAGGCTTCCGATAAGACCGGCTTAAACTTTCTGATTTGTAACGATGTTTAAAACAAAATTTGCTTTTATAATGAGAGTGCCTATAGTGTTGTGTTGTGTGATGGTTCTGTGTATAGGCATTTCAGCGGGCGCGCGCTGTAAACCGAGGACATACCTGCACAAGGCAATGCAGACAGACCTCAACGGGAGACGCTGTTGGGGGGAAGTCCAGATCAAATCATGTTGGGGATATTGCCTCTCCTACGAGGTATTCCTTTTTCCTTGCTCAACAATATTAAAAGCTATTGAAACTCAATTTGACGTCATAATGATAAACTGTATTACTTTACTACCTACCTTTTTATTCTACCCATATTAAGTACTCGTTGAAACATTAACTGCTGCTTACCTAGCCATTAGTTAGCTAGCATTGGTGAAATTGTTTCCTTCTATGGCTTTTACCTGACTAGGCCTAAAGCCTGATGAGTTTAAGTGGTCCTTGCGATTTTATTACAAATATGAACTCATCGTTTCTCATGTCGTTATTTACAGATATCGGACTGGCAGTTCCCATACAAGGAGTCTCATCACCCAGTCTGCGTACATGGGGGCAGGAAGCATGCGTTAGCCAAGTTGAAGCATTGTGATCCTGGCGTGCAATCTGGCACTGAGGATTATCATTATGTCGAAGCAGCTAACTGCAGATGCCAGGTCTGTAGCCTGGAAAAAACAATGTTTACTATCAGTCTATGTCCTATGTTATCTTACTATTTTGTGCCTAGTTAATATAAAAATTACAAATTTTTCACATAAGTACGAGACAGGGTAATGTTAAATTAACTGTTTTCGTTCAACAGGTTTGTTCCTCGGACGATACGAGCTGTGAATGGCTACCACCAGATTCTTCATTACTTGGAGGACTTATACTGAAAGAAGAGTTACAAGAAGAAATCCCAGAAGATGACACGGAATAACAAGTCTAAGCTACCGATTCTATTTGTGCTAGTAGCTACAAATCAATTATTGTATCAATGGAACGTTAAATAAATTACTTACATGTTGCAAGAGGGTTTATAATGTAAGACTTTTAATTAGAACAATTTTATTATTTAAAATAAAGTGAATTAAGTTCGAGAAAAGCTGTTTAAATTGAGATTGTGAGTCTCTTTAAGGAACAGTCGAGTACATAAATATATTGGCAATGCCCTATGTTTCGAAATAAAGTAGCGCAGTAGCGCAGTCAATACTGCGTTACTGCAACATGATAATGAACATCAGTCGTCTTATCAGTCGTGCGTGGTATATGGCGTGGTATCCTGTGGCATCACTTCAACTTGTGTAGATATGGCAAAGTACGCGTTTACCTTTATTCTGATTCAAATCGTAATAGTTGACTATTGTATGGTTTATTGTCATCACGATAAAAAAAAGTAAAAAGTCATGCCATAGTTGTAAAAAAAAGGGCCAAGCAAAGTGTTTTACTGCCAGTGGAATTTTAGTTTTTATTTACCTGGATATTCACGTAAACAGCTAATTTGTGACAAAAATAATAATATTAGTGTAGGGGTTTGCGTTGAGAAATAATCAACTAACAATGTAATGTGTAAAAATCCAGAAAATTAACTCGGCTACGTACTTCTAAGTGATATGGAATGGAAAGCATTAGTCATGAAATACTTCAGTGTAATTATTGTTTTATACTTTTCTTTAAGTAAATGCCAAGCCTTAATCACTGATAAGTTAGAATCGCACGCATTACTAAAGGCTAATTCCACATCAGAGCAGAAAGTATGGAACATAAAATTAGACATTTACTTTTCGAAACCTCTTCCACCAGTGAACAGAAAACCCATTGGTTCAGATGTGCGGTTTAAATGCGAGGCAATTATGAATTTTACGAAAGTTGAAAAGCATACAAAAAACAAGGAAGGCATAGAGACCTTGTTGAAGGAATCTCCCCCTGATTATATCCAACAAACACTCATGAAAAATGTTAAATTTTACTGGTTAAAAGATAATCAGGTGATAGGAGACAACCACAAAGTAAAAGCATCCACAAAGATTGATATGGCTAATGGCACAATTGGTTCCAATTTAAGGATTAAAAACATTGATAGTTCTGATGAAGGGAATTATACTTGTGTCATAAAACAAAGCTATGAGAAGTATCAGAGCACTTTCCTGAAGGTAGTAAAAAGTTCTGAAGTTACAGAAAAATCTGAAATCCCGACATACCCATCTTTATTTGCAAATAATGAACTAGAGGTTACTGTGAAGACAACACCTGATTTGATTTCTGAAGACATGAAGTCTCAAAGTAATGATGGAAGTACAACCAATAATAATTTTACAGAACCTCGAAAGCTAGAACCTATTTGTCAGGAGTATACCGGCATTGTGTGTGCTACTCACCTCAAAGGTCAGTTTGTTTACATACCTTATGACACCACTCAGGCTGCCCTTGAAGACAAACTATTGAAAGCAATTCGAGTCACACAATATTCAAACGACATTAGCTCACAATGTGAAGGCTATGCTCTGCCCAGTCTTTGCTACTCTACATTCCCAATATGCAGAGATCCTTTTGAGACTAACAAAAACTTTTTTGAGGAAGCTAAACTTCTCTTTGACTTTCTGTCTACAACATCTGCACCATCAAATGAAGGTGATAATTTACCTGACATAGTGTTTAGCCATTTGCCCCAAGGCTACATGCCACATTTAAATAATAAGTTGAGTAAGAATATTACACTGGGATTGTTGAATTATCGTAACAATTCAACAGTGTTGAGAAGGGTCTGTAAACAAGATTGTGAAATTTTAGAAAATGAGCTATGCCAAACTGAGTATGCTATAGCCAAGAGACACCCACACATAGGCCAACAGCTGACTCTTGAAGAATGCCAAGACTTGCCTGAAGAAGACCCAGAATGCCTTAAAATTGGCATCGGCCCTGTGATGGTGTCTGATGATGAATGTTATTGGGAGAATGGAAGTGGTTATTTAGGCAGAGTTAATGTAGCCAGCAGTGGCTTGGCTTGCATTGAGTGGTCTAAACAGTTACATGTGAGAGTGTCAGATTACCCAGAGCTCTCAGGGCTCCACAGCTACTGCAGAAACCCTGGAGGAATCAAGTCACAGCCCTGGTGTATCATTGAAAAAGATGGAAAGACAGAAAAACAACTTTGTGATATCAACAAATGTGCACATAAAATTTGGATTTATATTGTTGTAATTTTTCTACTTTTGACTGTTTCCATTGTTGGCTTTATTATCTGTCTTTGCTATAAACATAAGAATAAGGGCAGTGCAGCTACAATTAGAGATATAAACTTGCCAAATGCTGATAAAAATATTTATGGCAACTCTAGACTTAATTCGCCTATTGAAATGAACGAATTATTAACTAACCAAAACTTAAACAATCAGCCACATTTAACTAGAAACACACGAGGAAATGGTGTCCTGCGTATTCCACAGTATTCACTATCTCAAATTAAGTTCTTAGAAGAGCTTGGTGAAGGAGCATTTGGGAAAGTTTACAAAGGTGCTCTTAAAAAGAACGGAGATACTCAGTATGTTGCAGTGAAAGCTTTGAAAGAAAATGCATCTGCTAAAACACAGGCTGATTTTAGGAGGGAAATAGATTTGATATCTGAATTAACTCATGACAATATAGTTTGCATTGTTGGAGTAGCTCTCCGTGAAGAGCCTCTGTGTATGCTGTTTGAATTCATGGCAAGAGGTGACTTGCATGAGTTCCTGATGGGCCGGGCACCTCCCTCGGGTAAAGGCTTGCCTCCAATGAGGTTGTTGAACATAGCTAATAACATTGCATCTGGCATGCAGTACCTGGCTTCACATCACTATGTACACAGAGATCTAGCTGCCAGAAACTGTTTGGTTTCTGATGATTTTGTAGTTAAAATATCAGATTTCGGACTTTCAAGAGACATCTACAGTTCAGATTATTATCGCGTGAGTATTATTATTGATTTACTTATCGCATATAAATATTTAATCGCTAAGAATTGTGTTAATAACTTTGTTATTTTAGGTCCAATCAAAAAGTTTGTTGCCTGTTCGTTGGATGCCACCAGAATCTATATTGTATGGTAAATTCACTACAGAGAGTGATATATGGTCCTATGGTGTTGTTTTGTGGGAAATCTACAGCTATGGACTACAGCCTTATTATGGGTATGTTTTATGCTGCACAAAAATTAACTAATCAGACTTATTAGCATACCAAATTATGCAATATCTAATAGAGAAAAAGACTATTCACTAACTTTTCGCGCGGTTTGTTGAACTTCATAGATCACTTTCGTTTTTTTTTTCATTTGAACACGTGCGTGTCTGCATAGAGTTTCGCCACTTAGAGGTGTGATCACGCCACAGGTACAGTAACCAGGAAGTGATCGCGATGGTGCGCGGCGGCGAGCTGCTGGCCGCGCCGGCCGCCTGCCCCGCGCCCATGTATGCGCTCATGCGAGACTGCTGGAAGCACACGCCGCAACGGAGGCCTAACTTCGAGGAGATCGTCCATAGGTAAGATTTGATATGAGTACTCCATAGAACAGCCCCTTTTAACTTGTTAAGAATTTACAATGTTGTGGCTGCGAACTGCCCTTGCGCCCATGTATGCGCTCATGCGAGACTGCTGGAAGCACACGCCGCAACGGAGGCCTAACTTTGAGGAGATCGTCCATAGGTAAGATTTGATATGAGTACTCCATAGAACAGCCCCTTTTAACTTGTTAAGAATTTACAATGTTGTGGCTGCGAACTGCCCTTGCGCCCATGTACGCGCTCACGCGAGACTGCTGGAAGCACACGCCGCAAAGAAGGCCTAACTTTGAGGAGATCGTCCATAGGTAAGCTTTGAGCATAGGACTGTTGAAATAGCCACTTTTATAACATAACTTAAGTAGCACACAAAAATGATCGCGACCGCCTGCCCCGTGATCATGTATGCGCTCATGCGAGACTGCTGGAAGCACACGCCTCAACGGAGGCCTAACTTCGAGGAGATCGTCCATAGGTAAGCTTTGAGCATAGGACTGTTGAAATAGATAGTTTTAACTTAAATAGCACACACAAATGATCGCGACCGCCTGTCCCATGATTATGTATGCGCTTATGCGAGACTGCTGGAAGCACACGCCGCAACGGAGGCCTAACTTTGAGGAGATCGTCCATAGGTAAGACTTGATATGAATACTTCATAGAACAGCCACTTTTAACTAGAACGTGGGTAGTGGGTTAAGAATTTACAATGTTGTGGCTGCGAACTGCCCTTGCGCCCATGTATGCGCTCATGCGAGACTGCTGGAAGCACACGCCTCAACGGAGGCCTAACTTTGAGGAGATCGTCCATAGGTAAGATTTGATATGATTACTCCATAGAACAGCCCCTTTTAACTTGTTAAGAATTTACAATGTTGTGGCTGCGAACTGCCCTTGCGCCCATGTATGCGCTCATGCCAGACTGCGGGAAGCACACGCCGCAAAAGAGGCCCAACTTTGAGGAGATCGTCCATAGGTAAGTTTATTTTACTTAGCTGATACTAGGACTCTGTTGAAATAATCACTTTAACTTATAATTAGCGCACAGAATATTATCGCGATCGTCTGACCCGTGCCCATGTATGCGCTCATGCGAGACTGCTGGAAACAAAAGCCTCAAAGGAAGGAGACCTAATTTTGAGGAGATCGTCCATCGCTTTGATACTGGGACTGAGTTGAAAAATCCAAGTGATCGTATGTATTGGTGCGCGACGGCAAGCTGCCAGAAGCACACGCATAAAAGAGGTCTAATCCCAACTAATATTATAAATGCGAAAGTAACTCTGTCTGTCTGTCTGTCTGTTACGCTTTCCCGCTTAAACCTCGCAACCGATTTTCATGAAATTTGGCATAGAGATAGTTTGAGTCCCGGGAAAGAACATAGGATAGTTTTTATCCCGGTTTTTGAAACAGGGACGCGCGCGATAAAGTTTTTCTGTGACAGACAAAATTCCACGCGGGCGAAGCCGCGGGCGGAAAGCTAGTTTTGAATATATTTAAAATTAATTTTAAATTTTATTACAGAATCCAAGAGTGGATCCAGATGGGTGGATGTCCCGACACGGTGGCTCCGGAGCCTGGCAGCAGCGCGTGCGCGCACCGCGCCTCGGGCTCCAGCCGCGACCTGCAGGAGAAGGTGCCGCTGCTGCCGCCGCACTGCTCCTCGTCCAACGGCTCGCTGGCCACGGGCAGCCTCAAGAAGTTCAGCGCCGCCGGCTCCAGCTCCAAGGTCAAGGGTGCTATTATAATCTAACGGACTTTTTTTTTTCTATGATGGCATGCACGGCTTGTGCGTCAGCCACGACGAGGTAAGGACTTCCTGAGCACAAATTCTGATGTACAGCCTCCCTAGACAAGTTGCAGTTTTTGATCGAATCGAAAATCGAATCCGTCAAAACTTCATACCAAAATGGNAAAAAAGGCCTTTCGACCATTTTTCGGCTGGTTTGCGATTATAATTTATTTACATATTTATTTTATAGAAACAAACAGCGATACGTTGAAAATGTTAGTTATAAGATTTAGACTGATAGTATAGCCAATGAAAGGTTTCCCTTTTTTATAAAAGTACATTGTTGTTGGAAAAAATATATAATAATGTGCATTTTGTCTAGACCCACTGATTAACTTATTAATAATTTCATTTTAATTTTTTTTTAATTGAATTTGATTATGCAACATTGACTTAGATTTGATTTATTTAGCATTATTGTATTGTTATTTTATTTAATTTGCACACCGCAAAGCTACGACATGTTGATACCATTTATTAATGTTGACATAGCACCTTGTACACATGTTTGAACAAATAAGGCTGGGTTGCACCATCTTGCTTTAACTTTGACAAACGTCAAAAATCTGTCCAATTCCATACAAAAAACACCGGTTATTATAGTTACGGTCAAAGTTGGGTGGTCAGCCTAAATGTTTTTTTATCTTTAAAGGTCACCGACGACGCTCGCTCCACCTCCAGCGAGGTCCCGCCACTCGCTCCCAAAACGAAGAAACACAGCTCAAGCTCGCTCATTGACACCGACAAAATCGGCACCAGGGACACCGTCGTCAGGATACCCAACACACAGTTCGGCAATGAGATATAGTCCGTCGACTTCAACGAAATTGTGAGTGGTCGTCCCGTATTTATTTTAAAAACTAAACTTTGTTACATGATTGTGCATGATGTTTTATAATAATATTGTGTATGTGTGGTGTACCTGCGAATGCTAGTATTACTTTTGTTTGTCTATTTTGTAAATATAGTATCGATTAACAATATTATAATGATCTACTCAATTACCGGGCCAATCGTAAATGAGTAAAGAATGGTCTATCTAGCTTAATTGACTTGACTTTACCTTTTAGTACATATTTCGTTTAGCCCAGGCTGGGCCATTCTTTGTTGTTGATCGAAAAAAGCGTTAGGTACTCATTAATTTTTCACTATGTAAGTGTTGTCTGTTTCCTGTTTAATTATTAGTATGAATTTAATTTATCACAAATAAACTGGCAACTTTGTATCCTTAGGTAATTATTTGTTTACATGTGGAATGTATTTGAGTGAGGCTGTTGATCTCAAAACTTTATTTATTATTATGATTTCGAACACATTTAATTTATACGAAACTAATTTTATATGAATTATGTTTAGTTACTAACTTTAGTGTAACTTTTTTGGAGATAGGTATTACCTAAATTATCAAAAACGAAATGAGGTTAGTGTAATTTTTGACATATGAAGTTTATTATATTTAATTAGGACATATTTATAAGCTTTCGGTAAGTTATGAATAAATGGCAAATCACATTTTGGAGCCCTATAGACCACAAGTTGGACTTAAAAGTTGTCGTAAAATTTTAGGGCTTTCTAAAACTAAACAAAGTTTCATACTAGTAAAATAAGTTGAATTATTTCTTCATTACCCTTCATTATTTATTATTAATAAATTCTAGATAATTTGTGCTAAATGAAAAATAATAATGATGATCAAATAATTTGTAAATTAGTCTAAACATTTGTTTTAATAGAAAGTTCTATTGGCGACGACATAAAATGAGACTGACTTAAATAACCTAGTATGCAGTATTTAAAATTTTCATTCAGGACCAGTACCTAAAAATTCCGGACTAATTCGCAAAAGGGCGTTTTGTGCTTCATTTTTATGACATTCAATTAACGGGACTATTCCCACCCCTGCAACTCTTGTGTAACCAGGATCTACAGCTTGACCGCCAATAAAAACCCAACCAGTGAAAGTCAAGTATGTCCCGGGTGAAAGTTAAATTGTCATTGACCCGTAACAAAATTAATCAAAAGAACATGTCTCCCACACTAGCGTTTTTCGAACGTTGTCTTCTCGCCAGCGCCTGCACAGCGTTGACGCGGCCACGCCAACCGTTAGACCGTTTTCTGACTTGTCGGCGCGGCAGCGGCACGACATCGCACGCTTGAGATACCTACGCGGTACCGAAAGCTTACCGAGCGCCTATATTTCAATGGAGCTGAACGCTCGCCCTCCATTGAAATATAGGCGCTTGGTAAGTTTGGTGTACAGCGTATACATACAGAGCATACCGATGCCGCGCCACTACTGCACCGACAAGTCAGTAGGCAGGCAGGGTAAGGAGGCTGCGTTACGCGTCCGAAAAAAAAAACATTTTATTGATGCGACGCGCCCTGCGCGGGCGCTGGCAAGACGCTAGCGTGGGCCCCATAAGATCAAGGGCTATAATCTTTGTCTTGATAAATTTGTCCAATAATTATGATGACTTCTCTCTTTTGTATTCATTCATAACTTCCGATACCTCCATGAATAACAAGTGGTCATATTGAGATCGAATTGGGATACATTAATTTCAGGAATCAGTCATTGAGGTCCTAAATGAAAATTTAATCGTAGTATTTTATTTAATACTCTTAGTTGTTATAAATTGTGTTTTAATGTCCATATAATGTAGTAAGACGGTCGAGATAATGTTCGTTGTATTTATCGTAGTAACCAAAGCCTTGTATTTGTGTGGATCCGTTTCCAATTTGTTACTGAAAAATTGACGTACAATGGTAGAGTTCAGTAATCTATAATTGCAGCTTTTAAATAAACATAAAGCCTGAATAACACAGAACTGGGATAGACGAGTAGCTAATATTTATAGAAGTTATATTATTTTTAGCAAAACGGCAGTTAAGACAAAATCACATGGACCTTTTACATTCCGTTGTTCGAAAGACTGTAACATTCTTGCCTATTATTTTTAACCAATTTATATTGTACCTTTAGTTGTAACTATCTACTGTACTTAGTTATAAAATTGTACCACTAATAAAATCGTGATTATTTTTGTTTTATACCTAAGAAATAAGTAAATATTAAGATACCTATTGTAGCTAATTTATTGTATACTTATTTAGTAGCTACATATTTTTACTTCCTATTTTTTAGTAATTTGTCGACGCAATAATTCTTTCATACTTTTTATAAAAGTATTTTATTTTATATATTAGTACATTTTGTACTTGCCAAAGACCTTTTTTGTATGTGATACACATTACTTTTTTACTTAACCTTAAATTGTACTTCGGAAATAAATGATTTAAAATTTTCATATATTTTTATTTGAATTGAATAATACATTAAAACTTAGAATTGGACGATTTAAAAATATTAGTAAGATCATCTTCGGGATTTTTAACTCTTTTCACAACCGCGTCGATTCCGTGAACTTTCAGGTGCACCTTGAGATTGTGGCGCCCGTTGAAAGCTTTGCCGCATACATTGCAAACATTGGGTCTTTCACCTGAAACAAAATTAGTTTTTAATAATACTTTTGTTATACTAATATAAATTTTAAAGTAACTTTTATTTATTTATTTATTAGGTACACCAACAAAGTCACATACATAATACAGTTCATACATTTTAACATGGTTTAACACATGATACGTATATGACCTCAATTACAGGTCTTGGTTCTTGGTCAGGAACTTTGTCGGTCTGTTAGTTACTTTTTCATGCTTAAACGACTGAACCGATTTAGATTAAAGTTATAGAGATAGTCTTACATGCAGGAATAAAAATAGTTTTTCAAGATTAGTACTCTGACGTACTAATCTTATAGCTCAGCAGCTATGAAGACATTCGATAAACACGTGGTTGGTTCAATTCCCACCTGAAGCATTTTTTTCAAGCTGTCCAAAATCTAATTTTAGATACATAAAACGATTTTTTTTAATTACGCACCATTAAAGGGGTTTGACGCAGAATGTGCACGTCGCAAAATGCGCACTTTTCTATACTAACCTTTCAAGTGCCAGCGAAACGAGACACAATAGAAATAAAGTTACCGCGGTCTCATGCGACCACTTAGGGTTCCACGAGCTAAATATCAAGCCGGGTCTCCAGCGCGTGTTTTTCCCTACACAATACAATCAACAAAATATGTCAACATTCAAAATTTTTTGTACGCAATTTTGTTGAATGTTGAGATGTTTTTGTTGATTATGTAGGGCCAAACACGCACTAGAGACCCGGCTTTATACAAACAAATTCAGCCTATAAAGGTATTTTGTTAAGTACACGTTCTACGTCAAACCCCCACCCCCAATGGTCTGGTGCGTGAGGATGTTGGGCTAACGATTTGAAGATCGCAATGTCAGGGCACAGCCCCCTACAAAGAAGTCTAGGTACGCCAAAGGTTATACCTGTGTGCATACGTCGGTGTTTGATGAGCACGCTTTGCGAGAAGAACTTGGCGGGGCAGAGGTTGCACGTGAGCCGGCGCACGTTGTCGTGCCGGTCGACGTGCACGCGCAGCGCCTCCTTGGTCTTGTAGCGCGCCGGGCAGCGCGGGCACGCGTGGCGCGCCGCTTCGTGCACGCGCCGGTGCGACCGCAGCTGACAAAATAAGACTGTTTATAGGCGCGATGCATAGACGATCTCAAGGAGGTGGACTGGATAAATAAATAAAAGAAAAACGCATCACGCATATAGATAGTTTCATCCACCAAGACGCGCTCCACCATTCTTCCGCTAATGTTTGAGTGTTATCGGTACACGGTAAAAGACAATGCCGGAAATTGGCGTCTTTTTTTTTCGCGCGGCCATCGATCAAACCTTGTTTTTTGATTACAAAATAGTATAATAAACCAAACTTACTATGACATGTATACCTCTAAAATCAGTCTGAAATGAGTTACGAGCATCAGAAGTTTGATGATTTTCATACTAGATTTGCTGTTTGCGCGCAAGTTTTGTAAGAAATTGCAACAAAATAATGACATTGTATGTGTAAACAAACAATACCATCTATTAAAGGCTCCAGACATCAGTATGCAGCAGAATAAGCGCAGTAAAAAAATAGCGCAATATTCTGTTGCAATTTCTTACAAAACTTGCGCGCAAAAAGCAAATCTAGTATGAAAATCATTAAACTTCTAATGCTCGTAACTCAGTTCAGACTGAGTTTAGAGGTATACATGCTGTAGTAAGTTTGGTTTATTACACTATTTTGTAATCAAAAAACAAAGTTTGGTTGATGGCCGCGCGAAAAAAAAAGACGCCACCTTCCATACAAAATCTGGCATTGCCATTTATCCATGAGTGCTGCACAGTGCACACACACTACAATAATGACGCTCGGATGAACAAAATCAAAAATCAAAAATTGGTGGGGCGCGTCTTCGTGGATGAAACGATCTATACTTACTTTAACGACCTTTATAGATATCCCACCTAGATGACATTGACATGGGGACGACGTAATGTCAATACTTGATTATTGGTTCCGATTTTTGCCACGTTGGAAAACACTGAAAAGCATAGCTGGGCATTAACTCGTTAATCCGTTAATCGTTAATTAACGAAGTTAACATTTCTATTAACGGATTAACTTTTAAGTTAACTTTAAAAAATGTTAACGGACTCGTTAACTTCCGTTAAATTATCCTAAGTCCGTTAATCCGTTAATCCAGTACCTACTATTTACCAAAAGCAGGCTGAAAAACGCTAGAAAAACGCGTTCTGACAAGTACGTTCGGGCTTCCAGAACTTCCAGAACCCAAAACAACAGTTTTTGTAACCAGAATACTAACGACACTTGTAAGTTTGTGTGGGACAACTCTTGCAACTGAATTTAAGACCAGTTTTCTTCAACCGATTGAGCTGAAATTTGGTATACTTATGTAAGTACGATGACAATGCAATGTTAAGGTACCATTGAGCTAGTCTGATGATGGAGTCATGAGGGGCCATAGGAACTCCTAAATGAAACGGCGGCATCGCATCGAATTTGGGTTCGTTGGATTTGTCTTTTCGAGCACTTTAGCACTAGATGATGTTCAGGGTCCTGATGATGGAGTCAGGAGGTGGCCATAGGAATTCCTAAACGAAACGGTGGAAACTTATCGAGTTTGGGTTTGCTGGATTTGTCTTTTCGAGCACTTTGGTGCTAAATTGTATTGTAATTGAACCAAGGCTCTGAGATTGAGATACAACTAAAAAGTGTAAAATAAAATTATAATAATTAAAAAACTTTTTTAAAAACAAGCTTTTATTCTGAAATGCAGTTGTACTAAAACGAAAAAAAATAATTGTACTTATGCAAGGTTCAAATAATTTCGAAAGCTTGTAGCGCAAACAAAAAAACAGGCCAAGTGCGTGTCGGATTTTTTTTTTAATTTAAGTTATTTGTATGAAAGATTACGCGGTAATAAGCGGTTTACGATTTACAAGGTATTAAAAAAAAACAACTTACTATACAGTGTGAGTCACGTTAAAGTGTACATATGAAAATAGATGAAACTAGACCAAAGACTCTCCGGGCGCGCCATTCAACGCTTCGTTAACAACGAAACTGAAAATGGCTCTAGATTTGTAATTTTGATAAAGACAAGTTAGATTTCAAGTAAAAACAAAAGATTTGGAAGTAAAATAAGCATTTTAGTTAAAATTAAAATTTTCTCTCCCTGTAGCGGAGAATAATGTTGTGGCAGGCCTTTGTTCAAACGATCATTGCAAACGTTATGATAGGGATAGAGACATGCGATTTTTGGTTTTACGAAGGTAATACGATAGAAAATAATACAACGTAATAAAAACCACCGGTTATAGGGGCATTTTTTGGAGAAATTTGACAAATAACCAAAAAAACGCGAATTTAAAAGCAGATTTTTTTCAAAAGGTATCATTTTTTATTATTTGTTGGCCTTTTTTGTGTATTTTATGTATTTTTTTAGGATCGCCTGTTATTTAGCATTATTACTGTTTTTATTTTATCAGGATTTACCGCTTAGTTTAAAAGTTATTACGTTTTCTTTACAATAAGTAATTGGAAGAAAAAAAATTCTATAAAAAATTAAAAAAAAATCTCAAAAATTTTTTGACCTCTTTTTTGTCGATAAAAATAGGTCTAGTTTCATCTATTTTCATATGTACACTTTAACGTGACTCACACTGTATAGATCTCGTTCAAAACAATTTTCGTTGGTAGTTTTTATAGTACATAATAAATGTACCTACCTACATCATGTTTTTTTTAGATTTTTATTTTCTTATTTTAGAAGTTAGAGAGGGGGGGATACCAACTTTTTTCCACTTTGGAAGCGTCTGTCACGCAAACTATTCGATTTAGAAAAAAAATATTTTAGAAACTTCGATATAATTTTTGAAGACCTATGTATCCATAGATACCCCACACGTAAGTATGATGAAAAAAAAATTTTGAGTTTCAGTTCTAAGTATGGGGAGCCCCCAATATTTATTATATTTTTTTTATTTTTGCATCAAAATCTTAATGCAGTTTACAGAATACATCTACCTACCAAGTTTCAACAGTATAGCTCTTATAGTTTCGGAAAAAAATGGCTGTGACATACGGACGGACAGACAGACATGACGAATCTATAAGGGTTCCGTTTTTTGCCATTTGGCTACGGAACCCTAAAAAAGAGGAATAAATTCCATGCGCGATACAAGTTTTCGAAATTATTTGAACCTTGCATACAATGATTTTTTTCGTTTTATTATCATGTGTTAACGGATTAACGATTAACGTTAACTTGCGTTAAATCTTGTGAAATGTAACGTTTTAACGTTTAACGAAGTTAATTTTTTTATTAACGGTTTAACGATTAACGAAGTTAACTATTTGATTAACGGTGCCCAGCTATGCTGAAAAGTCATTTGCAGGAGGGCACTGCTAACTATGCTGAGATAAAATTTAAATATATCCGATTTTTGCCATTTGACGTTTCAAAATCGTTCAACTAATAGGTGAGCCTTCTTACGGGGCTCATGGTGAGCGAGTAACTTCTGCCCCCCTAGACAAAACGCACTTTTTGATCGAATCGAAAGAATTTGAATTTGATATAATTGAATTTTTTTATTATTTATATTCAACTCTTTAACAACTAGATACTTGTTTTCCGCTCGTACTCACCTTTCTATTAGTACACACTATTCCGCAGTCTGGACACATGACGTGTCTCACTTTACATTTGTGACTCTCATACAATTCTTGAGTCTTGAACAACTTGTCACATTCTTTACAAGTTATAACTTTATTTTCAGAATGCCTTCTTGTTTTATGTATCTGCAACAGTAAATATGTATTTAAGTATTTTTTTATCATAGCGATTAGCAACTTATCTCAGTTTCTCTAGTAAAGCAAGAGCAACTAAACAAACACGCTTTTAATATTATTTTTGTAGTTTCGTTGGACATTATTAAATCTTTCGCTTCTTTGGTGAAATCCAATCTGAAATATTAAGGCGAGCCATGTTTCTCAATGAAAAACAGAAGCTCTTACATTTAAGTTACTTTTCAATTTACACCGGAACCCACACATGTCACACATGTGAGGTTTGGCGTCCGTATGACGCCCCAAAATGTGCCCTTTCAATGCAGATTTACTTGTATACCTAAAACAAAAGGACTATACTGTAGATACTGTATTGAAAAAATCTAATATTTCAACACAGGATACATACAAAATATGACTATAACATTTATTAATTAAGATAGTTACCCTTTTGAACAATGGTCGCAAAAATATTTACTTTCAATATGGGCATAATTGTAATGGCTGTTCAATCGTCTTGGATTTTTAAATTCTTTATTGCAAGCTTTGCATTTCAGCGCTACTTTCTGTAAAAAAATTAAAAATAATAAATATTATACTTGATTATAATCACAGTAAACCATTCTAGTTCCAAATAACATAAATCACTAATTCACTGTAATAGGGATGTTGACTGGGTAATGAAATTGAAATTCTATTTAGTCCGTCATACAGATAATAAAAAAAATTAGGACACATATTTTTTTTTTTTTCATAATTGAATAATTACAGTAATAAATTGAGTTGAAATGTCGCGTGACGTCACTTTTGAGTAAAAAATCTACTCAAGCGTGACGCAACGCGCCATTTTAACTCGATGTAGCACTGTTATTACCTATTTATTTATGAAAAAAAATAAAAAATATAAGTCTAATATTTTCTAATTATCTGCCTGACAGACAAAGAATTGAAATTTTGTCATTTAGCCTATTGAAGTGTTCATCACATACTTTTCTTACATATGGCAATCGAATCCACAACAAAATGCGTTTATAATACGACGACAGTCGTACGATTAAACAAACAAATTATCAAGTTTATTTGCCAAAATAAAATAATCCATAATAATATTTAAAGTTAGCTACTTAATTTACCTAAACTAAACGTTACAAAAATAATATTTATTATTAATTAAACTTAAGACTGTATAACAATAATGAAAAATAAAACTTTTTACCTTTCCATCGTTGTGTTCCTTTAAGAAATGGTATTCTAAGTACATACTTGCTCTATATCGTTTGTTGCACAAGTGACACTTTCGTCCATGTTGCGGGAGGTGATCTAACCTGTGTGCTAGTAGACTGTGCCATGCGTTAAACCTCTCATAGCAAATCTTGCATTCTGTACCTGTCATGTGTGTCTCTAAGTGACTCTTCAACATGTTTTCATCTTCGAAATTTTTGGAGCAAATACCTGTGTAAATTGTTAAAAAATATTTACGAGTACTTAAAATTTGATCACAATTCAACAAACTGAGCAGGAGATGCTGAGCAGTTTAATTAATTATATCAACATTATTAAGCTTGAAATGTATTATTACCACATGGCCAAGTTTTGTTAATTTTTTCTCTGGTCTTAGGAGCATTCCTCTTTGGTTTTATAACTGAAAAGTAAGAAAGAGGAATACACATGAAATACACATAAGAAATATAAATTACAATCAATTATGCAAATATGGATTTGGGACCAAAGCAAGATCAAAATTTTATTTCTGTTGTAATTAGAGAAAATAGAAATGAATTAATTTTTCAATCTACACCATTTATTGTTGGGTTAACTTACCTTTGCTTTTTTGTATCTTTTGAACCTTGGTTTTTGGCCTAGTTTTGACAATTTTAACAGAATTCTTTTTTTCAATTATCGGTTTTGTTTGCTCTAGAACTGTAATCAAAACATATAATGATGTAATGTCATACTGAATAGGATCACAACGAGGGCATCACAATCTGCTGCACATAATAGTTAATCATTCCCACCTGGCTTGGTTTCATTTTCTATTTTAATAGGAAGTCTCAGCTTACAATCTTCATAGTTAAGGTATTCTTCTTCAATGTAATCCACATCTTCATAGTCATTCTCATTCTCATATTTTACTTCTTGCTTCAAACTGATTTCTATTTCTGGTTCTGCATCAGTTTGAAGATTTTCATTTTTAGGTTTTCTAACCAACTAAAAACCAAAGATTATTAGTTGTCTATTTAAATATTCAGTTCATTATAGGACTAGCACTTAACTGAATCCTAAGGTATGGGAGCAGCACAGGAGGGTGTTTTTGTTGGCTATCAGGTGAAAAGTAAGCGAGACTTCAGATTTGTATTCTCTACTTATATGTCAATGTCACTACTCCTGTCCTGTCAATACTCCTCCCGTCATGCTCCTATACCTCAGGCACAGGCTCATTTAAGTGCTATACTTATAGTCTTGAAAGGCTAAAGACTATAAGGCTTAAGAGAAAATCACAGTCATTAAACTCCAAGGTACATTTANGCGGTACGGATTTATAGAGGCCTAAAATATTTGGGTGAATTACCTGAATGTCTTCCAGTAGTTTTGTTTCTGAGGACACACAATTTTCTCTAAATTCTATAAAGGATTTCACTGCAACTACACATTTAGGGCATAGTTTTTGTGGCATTGAATCATACAGTTTCACCTATAACCAGAAAGAAATGTTTGATATTACAATAAAAAATAAGTTTTATGACTGAACACAAGATTATGTATGTGTATATCAAATAGCACAAAATACTTACATTTAAATTGGTTAATAAATTATAATTTGTTACTAAAGTATCATCAAATGGAATCATTCCTCGTTTAGATGATAAACAAGCTCGACATATCTCCATGGCTTGTAGTTACAAAATTGACTTAATCAACAAAATTTGGTAATGTAAATATGTATTAGCCAATCCGCTAAATAATAATTAATGAATAAGATACATGAAATTAAATGAAAAATTACGAAAATTATATACTTTTTTGACAATTTTGACAGAATATTAATGACGTTTATGATTGAGTTTTAAAAAAAACTTGTGATTCACAGCTTTGCACTAACTTATTTTTTGACGTTGCTTGGCCTTGGCTTGATTCGCACAGAGATAAATCGAACTATATCGATTGGCACAACACTAGCAGTCTGTATGGAAGGAGGGCCATAGAGGTGCTAATTATATGGAGAGGCCTTAGTGATCTATGATCTATACAAAAATTGCCTAAGTACATTAATGACAAACAGCTATTTATTGACGTGGATAGGACAAAATGTTTGTGTGTACATACTTGGTCTTACCAAGAATGTATTTGTCAGCTGCCTAAATTGCAGCCATTTTCTGTTCCCAAATCGTGCATGTAATAAGCACGTTTATTTTAAAGTTATGCCCGGTCCATAGTTTAACGTCCATGACGAGGGTATAAAACCACACGTGTTTGTGACAGTGACATAAATGACAAGAGCAACATAACCTAAAAAATCTAAACAAAATAGAACAAATACCACGTATAATTTGCAGTCCAGAAAAACTAATTAAAATAAGTGTTTGTGTTTTATTGTGGTGGTTTACAGAATTACGGATTTATCATGGTAATTGGTCATATTTCTTTTTCTGTATATTGGTGTAGAAATATTATTAGTTTGTTTCGAAAATACCACTATAGAAACGAAAGTAACTCCGTCTGTCTACCGTACATTTCATGCTTGCCACCTAATGTAAGGTCAAGGAAGAACGTAGGACAATTTTATTTTTATTCAAGTTTTCTATGGGACATGCACGCGTTAGTCTTTCTCTGGCGCGTGTAAAGGCTAGTGCCGTACGTAGTAACTTATGAGATCCAAAACCTACTATTCCTATATAATATCTATTTGTGTAATTAATATCTTTTTTTCATAATTTTATCTATATAATGCCGATTTTCCAATACAGGGAAAAGCACGTAAGACAAGAAAAATTGTGGAAAAAAGGTTTGCAAAAATGAAGAAAATGATAAGTCCTAGTGACAGTAGGATAAAAGCTAAGGAAAGAGCAGAGCCAAAGAAGAAGAAACCTGTTGACCCACATGAAATGAAGATCCGAGAAGTTCCACAAGCCAGCTCTGCATTGTTCTTTCAATACAACACTCAGTTAGGACCACCATATCACATTCTGGTTGATACAAATTTCATCAACTTTTCAATTAAGAATAAGCTAGACATTTTACAGAATATGATGGATTGTTTGTATGCCAAATGTATCCCGTACATAACAGACTGTGTTTTGGGTGAATTAGAGAAACTTGGAAGAAAGTATCGTGTAGCATTAAGAATAATTAAAGACCCTCGCTTTGAGAGAATTGCTTGCCTGCATAAAGGCACTTATGCTGATGATTGCATTGTACAGAGGGTGACACAACATAAATGTTACATAGTAGCAACAAATGATAAAGATCTCAAAAGGAGAATAAGGAAGATTCCTGGTGTTCCAATAATGTATGTTGCTGATCATAAGTACACAATAGAAAGGATGCCTGATGCGTATGGTGCTCCAAAAGGAGCAATTTGATGATAATAAAGAATATGAGTTACAATATGTCTTTTATTTTCTAAATATGAATACATTAATTTGTTAAATGTATTGTTTGTCATCAGCAAATTGCAGTTGTTGCATGAATAAACAACAATCTAAGATAATACTTATTTATTATTTGATCATGGTTTCCTTAAAATATGATTCTATTTGTATTTTCAATTTGCTTTCAAACAAGCTATGACATTAACATTATATCTTGCAATTTGCTAGTGACTTAAAACTTAATGCACTAAGCAATTATTAAATTCACTTCACAGTATTATTTAAACGCTAGTCAAGCAGGTCTAAATTGTCCAAATAGTTTACACAATACTATATGGTAGAATTCAGAGCACTAGGTGAGCCGACAACATCAATTATTTCACCCACAGGTTTTGTTTCACCATCTGTAGAGATGCATATTGATGCTGGAATAGTGAGAGTCTGAAACAAGTTATTTATGTTACTTACTTTTTTATAATAAACAAATAACCTACTAATTTAAATTTATAATTTTGTAGTAATCCATCAATTACTAGATTCATGATCATAATACTTAAGTATCTGATTACCTTTCCTGGGTTCAGTGCTTCATATTGATGCCTTAGTGCCTGTAAGTCAAATTCACAAGCAACTAGTGCATTTTTCAAATCAATAGCCAGGGCCAAATCTGAACGCAGTTCATTGAAGTGTTTGCATATGGCTTCAGTTGGTGTGGGAGCTATGTCTGAAACAATTATTTATTTCATGTGATTAAAGGTTTTGTGTTATGAGCTATAAAGACATTGGATTTTATAACACTCCTGGCTTTGGGCAGGTGATCAACATAATATCAACTAATTAGGGAGAATTGAAAAACCTACCAATATTCATTTGCCGCAAATCTTGTTCAATGGCCTTAGTCTTTCTTTGTCCAACTCCTGGAGGCAATTTCATTCGCTGAGAACGCAGCCAAACCCCAGTGCTCCTTGCCTCTGGGAATTTGATGCCTGACCACTCCACAGTCTAAAACATTTTGAGAAAATGGTAAGTTATTTCAATTTTTGGTATTATTACAATCGATGAATCAAATAATAGTAATACTGACTACTGTTTCTATGGCACGAACTGGCCTCTGTTGTGTTGATAGTTTCTTTTTGTGAAGTTTCCTGTCATGTCTTCTTGCAATGTTTGTTGCAGTATTTGAGGGTGTACTAGTTCCCTCTGTATTATTTGGTACCGGATTTACTACTGGAGTATTTCCACATTCTGCCCTTGATATTAACTTCTGTAAATCTTGTGTCTTCCTTTCCCGTTCACGTTTCCTTGCTTCAATCTTTTTCAATTCAGTGAGCAGCATTTGTTCTTCTTCAATCTGTAAAAATTAAATTAAAAAATTTTTTTTAAATAGAACATATTTTATTTTTGAAATTATTTCACATACCTGTTCCTGGGTTCGATCAAATAATCTTCTTAATTGTTCCTTCCTCTTCCTTTCGTGTTCAGCATCATAGTGATAAGTCCGTTTCTCTCCATTGACTGTAGTAACAGTGTTTGACCATGGATTTGTTTTTACCTGAATATAACAAAACAATAAAAGTATTAATTTTAAAGTAATTATTGTGAAATTAGTAAATGGAGCCATATTACATTTACCTTGCTTAAAGTGGCACATATTCCATAGTATCGTTCTTTTAGGTCCTCTACACTTCTGTCTCTGAAGGCAGCTCGGTCCCATCGATCATGAATGACAATAAATCGCAAATCAAAACGCTGACACAGGTCCATCAAGTGGTCTGTTTCAGCTTGACTCCAGTCTTCTGATTTGAGATATTGATTATATTCTGATTCAGAGTATGAAGGTATTGATACTTGCTGAAATCAGTAATACAAAGATACATTTATTTTGTCAAAGTGTGATAAATATGAATGAGAAATGTGCTGTACCTACCTTGTTAAATTGTGCAAATGGATATTCTTTAGTTTCATCAGAGACTCGTTTCCAATGATGAAAAACTGCATTATCTTTTCGAGCAGGGTTTGTAAATGGCGCCCAAATCCACTTTCTGGCTTTACGCATTCCCAGCTTAGCCTTAGTTTGTTTGTAGGCTTTTCCTAAAAATAATAAAATATTTTGAATTGCTTTTGTGATCCAATAGGATGTGTTTTAGTTATCAGGCTAAGAACTAGACTTACCAGTATCAGTGGGTAGTAACGGAGGTAAGTCTTTGTTGGAGTCATTGTACAAGAGAGCAAACACTTCCCGATGCATTCCCTCCGGTCTTTTTACAGCCTTAGCGGTCACATACTTCTTTTTTACTTTGTCACCATGTATGATGCTATCCCTGCTAATTTCCGATGCTCCTGGTTGTTCTATGTCCAATATGTCTAGAATATCAGCCATTTTTACAACACACTACACTTTATTGTTTTTTTTATTGTTATGATTGATATTTTTTTTAACCAGTAGACAAACAATATTCAGAAATTCAAGAGAAAGAAAATCCAAGCGAAAAACACAAGAGACAAATTAAAAATTTTTGACAATTGACAATGACACTGACAAGACGCTGTCACGCTGACAATAAGGGGCGTTTGACCGAAAATAGCATTGTTAGCTAGTAAGAAAAATGGCGTCCATTTAGCGGTGTGCTAAAAAAAATATATGTGAAAACGTCATTTTTAAAGTTAGCTAACGTGTCCTTGACAAAAACATGCTAAAGTTTTTGGCGGTTGCCATGGAGATTGCCAAAAATTCCCAAGAAATTCAATTTTTGGCCAAACGCTCCCACAGAAATAAACCATAGATAAATCTATAACCAAAGAGAAGATAATCGATTAAGCTTGCGCGGCTATGGGCTATTTATTTTTAAATTAATTGCCAACTTACATCTATATCCACGTTAATTATAAGAATCTAAATTCATGATTCTTGCTTGTGCAATGTGCATCAATCGTGGTTTGGTGTACGGCTACACTGTAAACTATCCATTTCCGTTTTTGCTCTCGCTCTCATCAAATGGTGATTCTTTGCGATAGAACAAGACGACATGACAGGCAATGGATAGTTAACACTGTTGCCGATGGTACAATGGTTCGGAAACGGTCCAACGGCCAAGAGGTCCCGGGTTCGATTTCCGGCCGGGCAGAAATTGAAATGATGAATTTTAATTTTTGTGATGGGTCTGGGTGTTACGTGGTGTTACTATGTATCTATAATAAATAAAAAGTACTTATTTTATGTATGTTTATAACCATTGTCTAGTACCTAGACAATACCAAGTTTTGCACAAATTACCAAGCTTTGCTTAGTTTGGGACTAGAAGCACAGTGTAAAATGTCCACGGCTATTATTTATTTATTTACAGTGGGCCACAGTTCCATTTTTTCTCTCGCTCTCATCAAATGGCGATTCTTTGAGATAGAACGAAATGAGTAGCTGGATTAATGTTCCTCGAAAGCCTACTCAGCCTTATTTTTATCACACTGGAATGAAGCGTCCATGAGCAGATCCCCTACCTAAGTGCTAAGCGTTAATATGACTGTATTATATGAGACTGAAAGTCGACGAGTCTGCCTGCATCATCACGTAAACCTACTCGTCTCTAAATTCTGCCATTTCATTTTAAAATCGCTTCACGGAGCAAAGTAATTCCATTAAAAAAACAAAGAACTTGTTAAAGCGGGCTGGTGTGGAAGGCTTTAGCAGGAGATCAAGAGTAGGACCTTTCAAAATTAAGTAAGTACTGACGGCTTGCAAATGCCTGGGATTGCTGCGTATCGCTGCCCCATACCAGTCTTCTCGTAAAAAGTTTTTGAAGCTTAATAAAATGAATTGTATTGATAAATTTTAAACATTTATTTTTTAGTTATCAACTATCCTTTGTACAACTCTTCTCATTCCAACAGGGCTGTCCAGTGGGACCTGTAATTAAATTAATTATTTACGAATGTGAGTCATAAATCACAAAAATATGGAATTAAAAAAAAATGATTTCTTTATAATTGTGTCGGAAACATAGTTCTATTAATTCGAGTTTTTTAAGGTAACTAGGTAAGTAGGTATCTACCTATACATAACTTAACGACATTCTTAAATGTTGCAAAATTAATAATTTGACTCTACGAACCGAAAATATTGCGTTAGCGTTAAATATTGCTGGCGGTAGGTACTTAGTTGCCATAATTAAGATATCTTAAAGAAAGAATCATACTGATACTCCTGCTGCATTCATCCAATATAATTTTAGTTTATCGGTCTCTCTGAAGTAGCCCTCAATCAATCCATTGACGATGAGAGTCTGCCGAGAACTAATCAGGAATTCGCCTTGCCCCGACCACTCGAGATTGTCTACCCATTCCAGTTGTCCTAAAATAAGAAATAAAATTGTTGATAATACGGTAAATAAATAATAAATAAATAAATATTCTTGGACATTTTACACTGCGCCGTTAGTCCCAAACTAAGCAATGCTTGTCTATGGGTAACTAGACAACGGATATTAAACATACTTCAATAAAATTTTTTTGTAAATAGGTACATACACATTATACATAGAAAACACCCAGACCCGTCACAGAAACTAAAATTCATCATTTCAATTTCTGCCCGGCCGGGAATCGAACCCGGGACCTCTCGGCATAGTAGTACCACTGCAGTAGTACGTTCTGAACTACTACACCTAACGGACGATATAACTTAATAAGCTTTGACTTTTGCTGTAATTGTTTTAACGGCTTTTACCCGTGGTCCCCCCAACATGTCCCCCTGGTGGGTCCACGGGTAATTTTTTTTACCCGTTGTCCCACCGTTCTGAACTGTGTTTGCCAGTGGGTCTACGGGTAATTTATTTTAACCATGGTCCCACCGCACTAAGTGGCAAACATTTATCTACACTCATTATAAAAAATGTTCTTGCAATTATTAATTTCGATGGTATCCTTTATTCTCAAATAAATATGAACTTAGGAATTAAGTCTTATAAATCTATGGTGCCGTACCTACCCACAATTATTTTCTATAATTAATTATAGATTTTTTTATAGTACCTATTATAGATACCTAGGTAACATGCAATGTTTGCCACTTAGTGCGGTGGGACCATGGTTAAAATAAATTACCCGTAGACCCACTGGCAAACACTGTTCAGAACGGTGGGACAACGGGTAAAAAAAATTACCCGTGGACCCACCAGGGGGACATGTTGGGGGGACCACGGGTAAAAGCCGATTTTAAGCTAGTTGAGGTTAAATAAAATTCTCATAAAACTAATTTATTTTTTGCAATCTTTTAAAAGCGCTTTTATTTTTACTGTAAAGTATTTGCGTGAAGAAGTAATAAACATGAATCTATTAATCCTTACAAATTAAGTAGGTACAAACTTTAGAGTTTTAAATGATGCTATTCGTAATTTTATCGCAGCCTGGCACTAACAGTTAGATAATAGGTAGGTACCAGAACCTACCTGGTGTATTAGATACTGCATCCAAATTTCCATTGTAAATTGTAACAGTCAGGTTCGTGTTTTCAAGAATTTCTTCGACTGAAAAATAGAGAATAAATTACTATGACGAATTATTGCGATACATACATGTACTTAACTCAGCAGAATATCCCCAAAATGCCCACTTACCCATATTCTTAGCAGGTCTCATGAATACATCTTTAAACGCTTGAATGACTTCTTCTCGACGGCTGTCGAAATCTGGTTCTGATATTCCCAAAGCGGGGGCAACTCTTTCTGTCATGAAGGTGTTGAAGTCTACATTGAAACCAGTGACATCCCGTAGGTACTTCTTCTGGCCAAATATGTCTAAAAAAGTGTAAATAAATTACATTTTATATTGAATTGATGAATGTACCCTTTGGTGTAGGTCAACATCACAACAGCAATCTCATGCCTGTTGCATATTAGCTTAGGCTATTATGTCACTGTGAGTAGGTATAAAAATGTGCTGACATCACTAATATCCATAATGTTAAACAAACGGAAAAATACTTACCTTTTGTAGTGGAGTCGTAAGTTACTTTCTCAACTATGTGACCTAAATTGACAGCTACAGCTCCAGCCTCTTCATTAACAAATTCACCTAACGATAAGAATTTCTCGTACGCCTCAGCCAGTTGTCCTTCGCTAACAAGATAGGTGGTTTCGTTCGAAAAATTTTCTATAGCAGGACGACCGTTGCCGTCAATGTAGCCAAGCTCCTCTAAGTAGAAGCCCAGTTTGGTCAGAGCTACCGCTGGTGATATGATACCGTTGCCAATGACGATGCCTTTCAAGTTGGCTGTTGAGTTCTCCGCCTGTTAAATAATAAGTGGTTTGTAGAATTGGGCATCGTAACACATTTTAAATAATAATTTATATGAAATCATTCCACCCACTTTATCCAGACCAAGAACAAGAGACATTGCGAGTTGTGCTCCATAGCCTTGTCCGACTATGTAGAGAGGAGTATCCACAAATTCTTCATGACGGGCATAAAATGACTCCAAAGCTTGCAGTAAGTGTTCAGCTAAAAAGAAAAACAAGTTAGAATCTTTATTAACGGGATTAAACTATGGTGTCTACAATAGATACCTTAATCTGATTTTTTTCTTAGATACCTATAAAAGAATTTGTAACATAGTATAAGGTAAATCTATAATAATCTTAGAACTTTGTGATTGATTCCACTATAACGTAATTGAACGACGCAACCATTATAACAGGGAAAAATCAGGAAATAGGAAAATATTGTTCCGTTTTTCCGTAACGTGATACTCTATTAAATATTACAAAATAAACGTAAATGATCTTACTATTGGTATCAAGATTTCCAGGTATCTCAACATCGCTGGCAATAGTACTAAAGCCGGTCCCTAGCGGTGCATCTACGAAGAGGAGGTTGTAGTCATCAACCTGTAAAATTTTGCATTCTATATTAAGGTAAAGGAATTACCTATCACCACTAATAATAGCAGATTTTCCCAATTATTTGTATGGCAATAAAAATTGTGAGAGGCTAGCATCAAATACCTATACTGAACATGAAAAAAAAATGCATTACAATATGGCTAATTACCCAAGATGGGCATAAAAATTACTACTAATAATGGACAGCACATCAGACGAGACATTTTTGTCGCAAATTCACACTCAGTGGCGTAACTATACCATCCGAGGCCCGTGGCAAATTTATTGAGGCGATTGGTATGAACTGGTGTACCTAGACTATCAACTATCATCTTCGAAATCGGTAAATTAAATGTAATTTTTCTGAGCTCGGCCTCTTGGGCGCGGGACCCCCTCGGATCGGGGGCCCGATGCAATAATATTTAGCTTGATGTGCCGTCTGTACTTTTTAAGTACGATACGTACTTACCCAAGAGTCGTTTCTTTTTTCCAAATTGAAGTCGAACGGGCCAAACATGCCGAAGTTGGCCAGCAGGCTGGGAGGGTCTCCTGTGACGCCGTCCAGCCACAGGATCAGCGGCCGGGAGCTGGCCTCGCTGGCCAGCGACGGGAAGAACCACCAGAACATTTTACCGACGTC